ACTCTTTCATTTTTTTTCAAATCTTAAGTCTGTTGAGTATTGCAGCTGTTGGCTCCCTGGATGTCACAAGGTTAAAATAAATATTTAGGCAAAATAGTGGAAAAGGGTGTATTATTTTTGGTTTAAAGAACTCCAGTGACTACTGTGTTGGTCAGAGGCACTCAAAAGATAGCTTAAATGGAAGCTAAAAGGGTCCATTTTAAGATGATACCAAACATTGTATTATAGACCTTTGACACTTCTACCCTGAGCATGTGACAAACACGACATATTTACGCTCTGGCGGGAGGTCAACCCAGACTGGATGGCTCAGGTTAGGCACAGCAGGAGGCTGTTCCTGGAGCAGCTTGGTAGGACACTAGTCACCACTCACCTGGAACGCAGGGCTTGTGTGCCCCACGATCCCTAACCCTAACCTGGGCAGGGTTTCTTGATGTGGTTGGTGTTTCATCAAGGGTTCTGAATCGCTCTTCGTCTGACCCCTCCCCCGAGGCCTGTTTGCCATGTGAGACACTACCAGGGGCTAATGCCCCAGACAACATAGCCCCTGGGACAACAGGGGTACTCAAACCCCTCCACTACGTTAAGGTGGTGGCTCTGGGGAGGGCTTATTTAAATCTGTAATAGTAAATAGTGATAGGAGCGTTCCAGCTGTCTCGGTTGTTGTGTCCTTGGGCAAGTCACTTCACCCGCAATGCCTCTAATGTTTCCAATCAGTGTATGAATGTGATTAGCACTGCTTAGTCTCCATAGATGATTTGTACATGATCGCTGTATAGAGATCTAGTAAAGTGCTGTGTGAATGGGTAAAAGAGGGAACAGATTGTAGTGTGAAGCTCTTTGAGTATCCTGGTTGGATAGAAATGCGCTATGTAAGTACAATCCATTTACCATTTAATTACATGGTAAATCCTGCAATATTTTTGTCCAAACTTTAATGAGGAGTGCACACACACACACACACACACACACACACACACACACACACACACACACACACACACACAC